CCCTGGATCTGGAAGATAAACTCACATACCCTAAGCATATGTTAGGTTTCCCAGCAAAGGTTGTATAGCATTCTTCTAAAAAATTCTAAAGCATTTTCAAGGCACCGCCATCGAGTTTTCTCTAGCATGTTTTCTCTAGCATGTATATGTGTGTTTGATTTTTAAAATCTTGACCATGGGGCTTCCCATTTCTTCTGGTGAAATTTTAGCTTTCTCATTCTTGCATGTGGTTCAGCCCTATCCAGTTAGTTTTGAGCTGTGACCTGGGCATCTTTCTTGCCATCAACCCCCTGGGCTGTGAGTTGTCCCTCCATTCTTTCTCCTCGTCAGTCATTCAAGTTCTTTGAGCCCTTTACTGGTGCTGCTATGTTCAGCCTGCCCTTGTCACTCTCCGGAATCCTCTTAGTAACAAAGGGAGTCAGCCTTTGCAGGCAGCTGGGGGCAGAGGGTTGGAGTCTGTGCCAAGATACAGAGGAAGCTAATCATACCCCTGACCTCGACCTCATTAACATTGTGCTGGAAACAACAGAGCCAGCATTCCATGGTATTGTTTGACTTTGGATTGTCTCTACTGATTTATGGTCTCTGGTCCTCATTCCTGCCTTCTAAAAGAGGTAGCTCTTAGAATGAGATAAGGATGTAAGACACAATTGGTACTGAATACCTCCTTTTAACTCCCTAAAAGTTAGACTTTGGGTTGTCAGTCCTTGCACTCTTCATATGGGGGATTTGAGTCCAAGATAAATCAAGACTGATGAGACTTAGAAGTATGAGGAGCCCTAAATGGGTACATGTGGGTGGGCACATGACCTGGGTGTCCACAGGTGAGGGTGAAGGCTTCAGATCAGCACTCCCCACCCATTACAGCAGGGCTCTCTCAAGACTTTCCTGGGGTGTTCTTAAAATGCTACTTCTGGCTCAGGAGGTCTGGGTGAAGCCTGGATTCTGTATTTTTAACGAATTCCCTATGACATTGGTGAAGATGGGGATGGGGATTACATTGAAGTAGTGTGATCTCCCATAAAGCCAGGATGTGGATAAAACTGTGGCATAGTCAGCTGGAGGCTGCCATCCAGAAGGCTTATATCAGGAGGGCACCTGTACAGTCTGATTGGAATTGGTTGCCTGTTACTTAATGCTGGCCTCTTGGGTGAGACCACGGGCCCTCAGTGCTGTCACGTTAGTGGTCTTGCAGTAGCCACCAGGAGCAGCTGCACAGGTTCCCTGGGTGGGATAGTTAAGTCTATGGGGGCAGGTTATGTTTTTGCTGTGTTTTAGTTACATACTGATTATATTCCATAATTTCAAGTGTATAATGAAGGTTCTAACACTTGCCAATTAAAACTTCATTTTTTCACCTTCCCCATAACTTTGGAAATATACAGTTAAAAAGATTTTTTTAAACTTTCTTTTTCAGTTAGGATACCATTTCTGAAACTTGCTGACACTCTGCTAGGGTGTGGCTAGACATGTACATTCTCAGACCCCCTCTTCTAGGGTTTGGACTCTAGCTCTGGAATGGATCCTGTGACTCTGCTTTTAAACCAAGTTTATATGTGGTTCTTACGATCAGGCAGGTTATAGAAATACTCATTCAGAGAATGATCGAGAAACCTGCCTCTGAGCCTATGATACTGACTGTGGTTATTAGGGGGCATCCTTGCTTATAATCTTGGCCTCTTGGGTATTTGGTAGGACTAGCTTATGTTCCCACTTCAGATTTTATCTTGACACATGCTTTATTATTCCAGAGAGGCTCTTATCTACAGATAGGACAAAGTCAGAGTCCTTTGTCAACAGCTTGTAAGAAGTCAGTTCCTTGAAGGTATTATTTTTAAGAAGACTTAACAAACACGATTATAGCATTGTGGGCTTTCTTGAGCTACAGGACTATTAAATATAAGCCTTGACAGACTGAGCAGGCTGCTTCATAGGCCAACTTGACCAGTAGCAGAAACTTTTCCTCTTCTACTGAGGTACTTTTTCAGTCTAGAAAAGCTTGAGCCTTACCACCTAGAATGTGTGCTTTAGTATATACTTTCTCTCTTATATCTGTAAAGAACAGTCACATTTTCCAAGAATTCTCAGCTCATGACTGGCTAAAAGAATCCCTGAAGTTGGGCATTCTAGTGCCAAAACCAAAACTTGCTTGAATAACACAGTTTGTTTCCAGAATAGCACAAAGATAGGTAAGGAGATTGTCTTGGCCTCTGCTGGTGGAGCAAGCCAGAACCAAGAGAAAAATTACACTAAGTACATTCATGGGACAGACCTACCTGCTACCACACCCGTGGTCATTTCATGCCCTCTCCTCCAGCCCCAAACCCTGATTTGTCCTTCGAATGGACTTTAGTGCCCTTAACTCCAAGACTCACAAGAGTCTTGCTTTTAAAGTATTGGGAAAAAGAATTTTTAAAAACTAATTCTAATGAGAGATTTTGCCTTTAAAGGGTAATGGTTATGTTTGTCTGGGAAAGGTAGGAACACAGGCATTGTATATCAGAAAGCATTGAACTGTCCCCCCAACCTCCACTCTGCCCCCAGTTAGCTTGCTCTGTGGTCTTCGGCAAGTCATTTCACTATTTTTGCTAATGAAGATGAGATGGAAATCAGGCCTGAAATTCTTGTGAGCCTGTCTGGTGTTCAGGTCGGGGAGAGGGCAGAATGGCCATTATCTTCCTTGTCTTTATCAAGGTGTGGGCACAGAATGAACAGGCCAGGTGGGGCCTGTAAAGGGCCCGTACAGGTGTGGGCACACATGCACTAGACAGGTGAGGTGCTGGAGTCCTAGTAGGCTGCAGCTCAGGGAATGTGTGGGGTTTCTGCAGCTTGTCTGCTCCCCACTGACTGCATGCAGTTTCTGTTTTGAGGGGCATTGGAAGCTGAGCATGGCTGGAACATGCAGTGTCTGCCGTCACCAGCACCTGTGTCAATACGAAGACTATTTTTATGTTTAGGACTCAGTTTCTCTCCTTTTGGAAAGAAAAGAGCAATGGAAATGTAAGCAACAGTGTAGGAATTTGCCAGCTTTTTTATAGAAATATGCCTAGTGTAGAAGATAGATAAATTTTTTCTCTCATAAAGAGAAGATAGATGTTCAAAGAGAGACAGCTGAACCATGCGCTTCTTAACTCTGAATTCTTTGACTCTGGGCCTTGATAACTTTGTAACCACAGAATTTGTTCCACACTGCAGAAAATTGACCCTCTTATAAAACCATGTGGAGCCTCCCGGAAGGCCTTGCTGTTTCTTTCCTGGAGTGGTCAGATTTTATGTCTTGGTGGGAGGAGAGATGTCTAAAAAGGAAAACATGGCTCCACCTGCCTGTAGCTGGAGTTCCCCTTGGCTGTCATGGAACAGTGCTGGTCGCAGAAGCACACAAGCTTTTCCTGGGGCGATGGAATCCTCCCATTCTAGCAGGGCTAGAAATGGGCCCAAGCCTTCACAACCCAATGCTGTCTATTTTCTTTTAAACAGAAATGGACATCCTCGGATGCAACAGGTTAACAGGCTGGGCTACTTCTGAGCTGCCCCCCAATGTTGGCACTGCCGCCATTTAGGACTTACTACTTTTAGAGGGCATCCCAATCCCCTGATGCACATGTTACAGCACATCGCGGGGGGCCTCACTCACCCTGGAGGTTCTGACTTGCAAGCTCTGAGATGGGGCAAACATGACCTTTCTAACACATTCCCAGGTGATAGTGAACCTGTGATTACTGAGAACTGCTGTGATACTAGGCACTTACCTACCTTCTGACAGATGTGTTGGGGCACACAAACTGCTCCTTGAATATCTGTTTGGGGTGAATGATCTTACTGGAGGGACCTGTGATAGCCACTGAGTGTTGGAAGGAGCACTCGCTCCGTCTTCTTACCCAAGGGCCACCTTTTTGGTCCTCTCCACAAATAGACTGGGGATGTGGCATTTGGGGGTAATTCAGATGGCCTGTAAGTGCCTCCTTCCACTCCCTTCTTTCTGACAGAGGCTTCCTGAACCACCTCTCCTCCATGTTTGGCACTTCACCAGCTTGCCATTGGCCTTCAGATAAAGGCCAAACTACTATAACTTCATCTCTTGCCACTTTTTTCCAGTCGCTGAAATAGTCTTCCTTTTTTTTTTTTTTTAAGATTTATTTATGCATACAGAACCGGGGTGTAGGCGAGGTGCAGGGGTGGGTAGAGGATTCACTAGAGACAGAGTGGGAAGCAGAACAAACAGACTGATGAAGTACACTGCTGAGGGGAGCAGCGGGCAAGTCAGGAGAGGTCTGCCACGCCATGTGGGTCACCTCAAAGGCTAGGGATTAAACTTGCACTGAAACAGCTACAGCTAGCTTGCAATGCTGCGCCACCAGGGAGGGCCCTGAAATATTCTTTCTGTTTATGAATTTACTGTTTCTTTCTGCTTCCAGGGCACACTATTTTGCTGTTCCTCTACCTAGCTTGCGCTTTACTTCCCTCTTAGCCTGGCCAAGTTCTGCTTGTCAGACCTCCTGTAACCATCACTGGCCCTAGGGAACTTCTTTTTACCCCCTTCAGATCAGCTGGTGCCTCTGAAAAGACTCCACTCCATCTTGTAATTTTCTCTGTGAGACTCCTGTGAGCTGCCTTAGGGTCATGTTTATTACTGCTTACTTCCTTGTCATGGACTGTATGCTCCTGAGGCCAGGGTCCCTGTCACATGTTCATTCAAGGATTCCAGGCTTGACCTGGTACCTGGCATAGAAAGGACCTTCTTAGCCATTTTGCAGAGAAGATACTTCAAGGTAGCTTGAGTCCATGGCTTTCTATTACCATGTGAGTGAGTCCTAACACCAGGATTCTCACCCAGGTCTCTGATGCTACCTCTTGGCCAAGTGACACTGGCCAGGTTTTCTGCTCTGACACCAAAGAGTTGTGTCCAATCTATAGGTCCCTGCTGGGACCACTAAAAGACTGGCTACTTCAACTTTGGAAAATGACTCTCCTGTTGCTTTTCAGGTAAACCAGGAAGCAGACACAAGTTCACAGCTGGCCTGTGGTTCTTGCCTCTGTTAAGGAGCAGCTCCTCTACAGGTAAGGGTTGAATTCCTGGAACTGGCTCATGCTCAAATGGGTTGTGAGGAAACTCTGCTCTTGAACGATTCACTCTGATAGCACCCAAAGTTCTCATTCACTGCAAAGGAAATCCTTAAATGGAGGGCAGCAGCACCTCTAAGGAAGGTGTGAGGTGGTCCCCCAACTCTGCAAAGTTACCAGAGAACTTGGTGTCCCTCTTCCAGCTTTCTCCTGGCCTTGCTGGCCTTCTCCTTTAGGTGGATGCCTTCTTCCTCTTCATTTGAACTGGTGCTTCAGATTCCTTTCCCCACAGAAGATCCAGCTCAAGGGTACCAAACTAAGTGAAAGGCTGTGCAAAGTTTAATCTTCTCAGCCTTCCTGCAGAAAGAATTGCTGCTTCTCTGCTCACATGACAGCTTGCCATGTGAGCTTCACTTGAGTTTCGTGTGTCCTTTTTCCTCTAGTCCATGAGTTCTCTTATTGCCATTGCCTATCTAGCATGGCATTCAGTAAATGAATGAATATTAGTCTGAGAAGAAAACACTTTAGTGTTTTCTTAGTTTAGTAAACTAAACTAAGGTGTATACACACACACACACACGCACATTGTAGTGCCTTTTTGGATTAATTACATGGCTGTTTGCTAACATTACCACGCATAATTGAGAATTTACCATAATATAGTCAGGTCAATAGGAGTTTAGGTTCTTGCCCATATTGAAAAGGGCAAGAGGTTAGGAGTTTTTGTTTTATTCTTGTCGTCTTGAATAGACAGTGATGCTGGGTCATGGAGCACTAATGTACTGAGTGACAGCCTGTGACCATGAACACCGGTGCTCTTGTCTGTCCTACAAGAGACCACTGCCAGGCTGCCCTGGAGCCCTGATCAGCCATAAGACTGATGTCTTATGTGTCTAAATGTTAGGCTGCAGGGAGTAAGCAATAATTGACTTTGCCGGTGAATAACCTAGTTTAGTTTTAATAAAAAAAGGCTGTTGATTAGTGTATTCAGGTTTAATAAAATGGAGCTTGATCAGTGCATTTCAGTTTCCCCCATATGTCTTAATGAGTTGGATGCTTTGAGAAGTGCTGCAATGGGCCTGATGCCACATTGCTCTACCTGTAAGCTGGGAGTAGCAACCCCTGGGGCGGGGGTTCAACTGGATGATGGAGCCAGAATGGGGCCTCGGTCCTTTTGGGAACTTTTGGTCAGGGGCAGAGTTCATGGAAGCTGGAGGTGGGGGGATATGGCACTTAAATCTAACTGCAGACTTCTTTCACGTGGGAGAATGCAGCCTTGAGTTTGCACGCTTGCCTTTCTGTTCAGCTTCAGCCTGTTCATTGTTCAGCTTCTCTAGTTGTTATTTTTGGGTGTGTGCAGCACTAAAAGTAAAAGTTGTCTTTTGGTTTCTAACTGCACTTTTCGCAACCCAGTCAGCAAGTCCCCTGTTACAGCAGTCACAGAGCTGTGGCTTCTGCTGGCGCTGAGTCCTGGCTGTACAGCTGCTTGCAGAAGAACTTAGTGAAAGACAAAGCGGTAGGAATATGGCTCTCAACTGACCCTGCTTGTGTTCTTAATGCTTTCTGAGGCTGAGGTAGATCGAGGACTTTAGCTTTGCCTGGTCTCCATGGAATTCCCAGTCTCCACAGAATCCAGTTTGTCTGTCAATACTTGAAAACTAAGAAAAATAAATTGCAGCATATAAGTCCTGATGTTAAGATATGAATGGATTTTAGCTTTTTAGTAGGTTTTGGAATCTGAGCTTTTACTGTAAATGATGATGCAAGGTGATGCTTATAGGGCTATGCGCTTTCTGCTGCCAAAAACACAGGGTTGTTCATCACCCAGAGAAGAATAATTAGCACCTCACTGAGCTTCTGGGGTAGCTTTTTTCAGCCTACCTCCTGCTGTGCAATGTAGTTTTGATAATTAGGTTCAAAAAACTGAGGTAGGTCAAGTCTTTGAGCTCCTGAGCTGGCTGCCCATTCACACTCAGGCATGTCTGCAGGCACATTTCACATAACTTTCTAGTCAAACCTTGACCAACTCACACTATCCTAATTAGAAATTCCAAGAAGTGATGCTGTTTCCCAAAGTGCCCGAGAGCTTCTGAACTGTGTGTTGCCGACTTCGGATACGGATACTAGGATATGGATACGGTGCTCTTCTTTCACTTAATGACTTGTTTACTCGTTCTAAAGATAGAGCTGCTAGTGCTCAGTAGTTGAGTTTATATACTATGGCATGTGTGTTTTTGATAGAGCTGTTTTGGAGCCTTGGCCTTGACCCAAAGATACTGCCTAGCATGGTCCCCTTGTGTCGAGGGTAGACATTTGGGAGCAAGCAGAGCAAAGGCAACTAGCGGACACAACAGCTGTCTGCTGGACTCAGACTCCAGTGTCATTAGCACACTGCTCTGTGAACCCTGATATCCTTTATTGCTGAAATGCCTGGGAACCCAGGCTGTGGCTGGCGGCAGATACACGCAACAGACAAATAGCACATTTCTTCCTGAGGGGACTTTGGTTCTTCTAGGTGAAACCTTTCTCTTGCACTTCAGGTGATGCCTTTATCCTGTCTTCATAAAGAAGAAGCAGTTTCCAAAACAGGCTTTCAAATTTCAGTCTACATTTCCCAAGTGTCGATATCTTGGAGAATAATTTGCTTTTTTCCATGTCCAGTACACAATCAATGCATAATTCAGGAATCACTTTTTACTTTGATCAATCGCTTGTCAGATGTGCTTGGTTGGCTGTTTGTCTTATCCACTACAGGAGTTCTGTTGATTGGGGGAAAAAATTTTAAATACTTGTTTCCAGGAAAAGTTGGTTTTAAATGGGATTATACCTTTGCTTTATGATAAAATTGGAGAAATTTTTTCAATCACTCTGAGGTCCTTTTCCAGCTAAGAAATTATCATTTCCTGTCCCTTGGTGCCTTTTTAGGATTATGGACTTGAGTTAGGAGGAGGCCTCTGGATAACTAGTAATAAAAGTAACTTTTCCAAATGGGCAAAAGAGAGAAAAAATTTCCTCTCCTATCTCTTTTAATGACAAAGAGAAAATGTGCTGCACGTCATATGATTCTTCCCTGTAGAGGATATCTTACATGGTGGAACAGTTTCTCGGGCTTCTGGGAGTCTTACGTTACTTTGCCACCTTCTTAACTCTCTTAAGACTTCCTCCACTGACAATTCCCTGTCCTTCTCTGCGGCCTGCCGGGCAAGCCTCTGCTCACCTGGCCTGCATTCTGTCGCCCACCTGGGGTTGCTGTGGAACAGTCCTCTGTGGCTACAGTCAGAGAAAGAAAACAAACAGCTGAGCTCCCATGGCAGCCCAGCAGGCTGGGGAAAATAGCTCTCATTCTCCTTGTTCCTGGGTTCAAAGTGCACTGAACATTTTATGGGGGCGATCAGCCCTCCCAAAGTGCTGGTTCGAGTGGGTCTGTATTTTCGCCTGGTGGACAATTAACCATGTTGACCTTCTCCTTTTGCCTCTGCCTTTCTGGCTGAGTTGACATTAATGCTGAGAGTGAGAAGGGGCTGCTGCTCCTTTGAGCAGGGCAGGGCTGGGGAAACATTTGATCTTGTTCAAAGGGGATGTCTCTGAAGCATGAAGATTGAACTGATTATGACCCCACCCTGGGGGAAGGAGAAGCACCCTCTGGAGAACAGGCCCAGAGGAAGAAGCCTGCAATTACTAATCCCCTGGCTGGTGGGTCTTCAGGGTCTCATATCCGTTTAAAAGAGAGAATTGGGGTTGGAGGTAATAAAATAGGCTTTAAATTAGAGGAGCAGGGGGTCATTTCATCTAATTTTGTGGTTGTATCTGAAGAATAAAAGGCAGAGAAGATAATTCCAGTAGCCTCTTTGAGATCTTTGTCACTGGGGGAATTCCAGTAGCCTCTTTGAGATCTTTGTCACCGTAGGGTGGCATTTCTGGTGTTAGCATAGGAGCTGCTCATTTCCTTCCTGATCAACCTGGAGCTCCATTTCCATAGCATCAGGGGAGTGCGAAGTCATCCCTTATGCCGTGGTGGTCAGGATTACAGAGTTCCTCTGGTAGTGGGGGGTCACTGATTGAAAACAGTTGATAAGAATTCCCACATGCCACCTGACATGACTCAGGAACAGGTGTATGTGCCTGTGTCTGCAGAGAAGGGAGAGTGGCCCCGAGGCTTGCCCTGGGTCTCCTGGCAGGCAGGCAGTGGGTCTGTGATTCTCTCCCTGGACTTCCCACTTTCACATTCAGCCCTCTGTGATCAAAATGAGAAGAAAGGAGGGAAGGGGGCAGAGGAACCGGAATATTTCCGTTAAGAGAAGGGAGCAGGCAGTCATGGTGGATGGCTTGTTCTCTGTACCAGCCACCAGCTGGCACCATTCCCCCAGGCAGCTCTGAGAGAAGCAGTGACCAGGGTGGATGGTCTGGGAAGGGAAGAAGGGGATGGTTCTTTTCAGATCTGTACAGTCAGAAGCAAAGTGTGGAACAACTTCTAGAGAGCCCGTACCTGTGGCCAGGAAGGGTGGCGGGCCGCTATCTGTATCACCACTTCTGGCTACATTGTTTCTGGGCCTGGTCTTTTGCGTGCACTTCTCAATCCCATTCTTGCTCTCTCATCTCTGATCATTTTGCTCTCCAGCTGCCCTCACTACAGTGTACGTCGCTGCTTTATATTTGTGGACTTAGAATAAAAAGAAGTCTTATAGGATGTGCAAATATAGGCTACTGTAAGTACTTTTTTATTTTTTTAAAGATTTATTTATTTATTTGTGCATACAGAACTGGGGTACAGGCCAGAGGCTCAGGGGCGGTGAGAGGCTTCACCAGAGACAGAGTGGGGAGCAGAACAGGCAGATCTACGAAGTACACTGCTGAGGGGAGCAGCGGGCGGGCCAGGAGAGGTCTGGCTCGCCATGTGGTCTCCTCCGGGGAAGGCTGCAGGCGGGAATCGAACTCATGAGGAAGTGGCTTCAGATTCTCAGTGCTGTGCTTTAACCCGCTGCGCCACCAGGGAGGGC